ACACACACACACACACACACACACACACACACACACACACACACACACACAGGGCCTTGGGCTGGGGCATGTATGGGAGATGTCCGCGGCCAGCCTGGAATTGGCCGAGGAGGGAAGTCTAGTCATGTGCCCTGAGAGATGGGGAAATAGGTTTGCTAAGCACCCGCTCTGGCTCTGCCTCGGGAAGACTGTTGCCGCAAGGCTAGGCCGCTGGATAAATGAGTATTTACTGCCGGTGACCCTGTGTGCACTGGGCCGGAGGCGGGAAGTGCAGGGTGAAGTGAAACTCAGAGCTGAGAGGCAGAGCCGGGGATCAGTTCCTCTAACAGATGTGACCCAGCACAGCAGGCAGTCCCTGCTGGTCCTGTGAACAGAGAAGGCAGAGACTGGGGGTGAGGTGGGAGGACTGGGGGGTGGGGAGGACACAGACCTGTCTTCTGGACTTAGGGAAGGTTTCACAGCATAGGTTACTTTGAGTCTGTGAAGGGTAGGTATGGCTTTGTGAGGATAAGAAAGGGACAGTGGGTATGAGCAGAGGAAGCCCCTGAGCCTAGCCAGGGGTGGCAGGTGGTCCAACGCCAGTGCCGGGGCGGGGGAGGGGGGTAGGCTGCAGAGCCAGCTGGGGGAGACAGGGGGTGGAACTGGTCTGTTGAGAACAGGGGGAGGGGAATCACCCAGGGAGTAGGTCACTGCTGGAGGCTGGGGGCAGGGGAGTGACATGATTGGCTCCACGTTATAGGCAGCTGGTGGCTGTTGTGGAAGATGAAGGGAGGCCAGAGGAGAAACAGCAGGAAGGATGGCATCCAGTGAGAAACTTCAACACTCTGGGCAGCAGACAAAGAGTCGGAGCAAATGGGGAGGAGGAGGTGGGTCAAGACTTCTCCAGGGTTCTGGGTGCCTATTGGGTGTGGCGGGCGAAGGCTCGGTCCTTTGATTCCCTGTGTTTGCCTCGCTCCGTACCCACTGACATCCATTTCACTCGCACTTCGAATGCTAATTTTAATGTTGGTAATTGCAACAGATAGTCTTATTCATTTAACAGTGGGAAGTCTCTCCAGAGTAGAGAAGTGAAGGCAATGCTGCTAGTAGTAACATTTAAAATTTTTGCTCTAAATCCCTTCTGGGCGTTTTTAAGTGGACCTGACTTAAGTGGGCGTACTCATAGCCAGAATAACTTTAATAGCATTAACTAAGTAAATGCTAGGCATTGTTTTAAGGACTTCACATGTATTAACTTATTGAACTTTCACAATAACCCAGTAAGATAGGTACTGTCAGAAAAATTATCCAAAATTTAGGATAAAGGCAAGAAGGTGGACAGCAGGTCCTTTCAGTGTTAAGAGGGCAAAGGCTACCCAAGGATTTTCTCAAGGAATATCCTTGGTTTGCCTCATTGCTTAATCTTGATGAAAGTTCCCAGATTTAGAGAAGTCACTTGTTAATTTAAAGACTTTGATCCAGGAGATTTACAAATAATTTCTCATGAGTGAAACACATAATCCCAATAATTTATGTTAGATATTAACCAGGTTATATCTAATCCAACAATCCTACCCTAATAGTTCTTTGTTAAATTGCCTATAAATATCCTAACTTCTCAGATGCTCTATGAATTGATCATAACATCTTATTAGTTATGTCTTTAACTAATGAGTTAAAAATATATGATTTAAAAATTGTTTAAAATTACATTTTAAAAATTATTACCCTGATTTTATAGAAGGATAAACTGAGGCACAGAGAAGTCATGGGACTTGGCTTAAGATCAAAGAGATCCTTCGTATCTCTCAGGGGTAGAGCTTGGATTCAAACTACGTAGTCTGGTTCTAGAAAAGTCTCTATATTCACTCCTACCGAGGGTTATGTATTTAATTTAACAAATATATACTGAGTTGTTATTTTGTAGCAAATTCTGTATTAATCTCTTCATTGTAAATTGTTTTCATGTCTTATAGTACAAGCTTAAAAATAAGCCCTTGTCCATATGTCCAGGCTCTAAAAAACCAGGCTAACAGTGTTCTGGGCATTCATATAACTTGCTGTGTCCTTTCTGTTGGAGTCTACAGCTGTCCGTGCATCTGGGGAAGCAACTGTACTTCCCTCAAGCAGAGGGAGGAATCAGAAGAGGTAAGACCACTCTTTGATGATGGGGTTAGGGCCAATGTAAATTCCAGAAAATGGTTTTCTTCCAAATCTTGGGCCATGTAATTCGTATTTGTAAAGCGGGACATGCAGAATGATGTTATATGAAGGCTCCCCTCTGCCAAATCTTCATCATCCATGCTTTGCTTCAAAATCACGCCACAGTTAGCTTCAGTTTCCAAACCCAATTCTCATCTTAATGTTGGTCCTTTATGCTAGAACCTTTCCAAGCAATTAGAATGGGTGATTTCCTTCTGTTTCAGCTGTCAGTATGTTTCTATTATTGTTTTGCTATGTCTCTTTCTTTAGGTGATAAAATCACAGCATAAAGCAACTGGGATAGCTTTGGCCACACCTGTACCACCAGCTCTGTTTCCTGAGAACATTCAGCAAGTGATAAATGTTGGTGATACATGTTCTGCTCTTGGAGAAAACACATTCTTCCCACTACACTTGGAAGTGTTTACCTCCATTTTGTGGATGACCAGTTGAACTCCAAAGCCAGGAAATTCACCTGCATCCCAGAGAGGAAGGAAGTGATGCTCCAGGCATGTTCTCCACCCAGCCTGTCCAACAGTGACAGTGATGCCTAATTTGCCATTTAGCTCTGCAGGCTCTTAATCCCCCAGTCACTGGCCAAGTCGCCTTGGGTAATCTTTCTATAGTTGGTGCTGTAACAACTACTCTGCTTCAATTGCCACATTCCAGCTTCCAATTTCCAGTGGGTTATGTGGACTCCAGCACCTACTAACATATTTGGCTTTTAACACAGCAAAACTCTGGGAGAAAACTTTTCTATCCACCTCCCCACCCACTAGAAAATTAATAAAATTTAAAGAAATGATAAAATAATACTATATTGTTATTAATTGTTGCATCTTCTGATTTAAGTTAAAACGCTTCAAGATGTTAAAGGACTGGAATACTAGTGAGTGCCTGGGCTCATTCCTGATTCCTGGTGCATCCATCTCTGTGTCTCACTTGTTCCAACTCAAGGTGCCTGCTGAATTTGGGTTCCCTCCAAATAATGCCGTATCATGGCTATGTGAATTACTCTTCAGCTTGAATCAGTAAGGAGGAATGTTGACACTGGACACCTGGCAGAGGTGGCAAACTTTGGCTGCAGTGAACCGGTGTCTCAGTGACTACAGTCATGGTACTTACGCAGTGCATGACGTTAACTGAGGAATCATTCCTTCTCCTCCCATAACGAGTCTAAGTAGAAGCACAATCATGTTAAATCTGGAGAACAAAGTGTCCTCCACTAGGGAAGTGCTCACTTGTACGTCTGGATTCTGCCAGTTTCATGCTGGTGACTGACAGCTCCAGGGAGGAACAGTTCACCCAGAGCTGAGGACAGGTAGGAATATGAATCACTTATTTTTATTAAGCACTTAACTGTTTACACAGACCCAGGGACGGGGTTACATGGCAGGGATCCAGGGGAGTAGGCTGAATGGCTAGACTGATTCCCTACTGCAGATCAGAGAAAGGAGGCCCGGACAATTCAAATGGCTTGTCTGGGGTCACTGCTAGGGAGATGTGGCAAATCAGGGCTGGGTCAGGCTCTCAAATGCAATGATGATCTAATTTATCTGTGAGGGTCTCCAAGACAGGTTGCCATTTGTGCCCGTAGGGAAATGTACCCGAACACTTCTCTGGAGCATACAGTGCTCCACAGAAGGAAATGCCCATTACTTAGTTGGAGCACACACGTCTTTCTGAAAGAAAATATGCTCAGAAATGCCCAGTGCTCCTTCTCCTTTGAGATGGAAACAAGGGAGATGTGTGAAAGTGTGAAGTGGGCTCCCCAGGAGAATAAATAACCAGCTAAATTAAGGCAGACATGCAAGTGGAATTCCAGTATGTCTGACTTACATGTGAGATGCCTGGCTGCATTTTCCCATTACTCGTTATAGACCTCTAAGGAGCTGTGAAAAGCACCTGGTCTCTAGGGTCTGATATTCTGAAGTCAGCAGTTAGGAAAAATTCTTCTTTAATAAATCTTGAAATGAACTCATGATTGGACCAGAAATATATCTTCACTCAACATGAGCACATCAAGAAGCCAAAAAACAGAGACACTTCCAAAGCACAAGTGGGTGTTTGATTAACGTCTCCTGGCCCATGGCAGCTCCAGAGCATGTTTGAAATTTCTCTGAGTCCAAGTTGAACAGAAACCCATGGGCAGATGGGAATGGAGCTCACAGACTCTTTGTGAAGGAGGTGAACATCCAGGTATTCTAGGAGCTCATGGGAGCACCTCTGTGAGGAGAGACGGAGTGGTAAGGAAGGTTTAAGATGATATTTGAGTCTTTTTTTATTAAATTATAGATAATGTACTTTTATTTTAAAGGCAACCCCTATGTATATAAATTCAACCACAGTTTGTATGTATATAGAGAAGGATTTAACCAAATGTTACAGAGCAGTAATAACTTACAGAGCCTTAAAGTGTGTAATGGACACTTAGCCTCAAATTTCAAAAATTTCTGATCCCTAATAAAATCTTTACATTAAAGCCATTTCTCATCCTCAAAATATCTGTACATAAGACAATTTGGTAGAAATTTTTTTATTTATTCTGTTTTATCTAAGGTAAATTGTATGTTAAAATTATCACAATTCCCTAGTTAACACAGCTGAGACTAAATGGTGAATAGGAGTTTTTCAGGCAAGGATACATATAGCCCAGATCATGGTGGTTGTTGTGTGCCATGCTTAGGTTTATAATTCATCCTACAGGTGATAAGAAGCTACAAAAAGTGCTCTACGTAGAACAGTGTCACAATCAAGTGTGTGTCTAGGAAGATGGATGAGGCGGTGATGTGGGGAGCAAGGGATCCAGGGAAGGAGGCAGGAAGACCATTTACAGATGCTCTAGAGCAATGATTTTCACAGTGAGTTGGGGTCCTGAGGGTCCCCAAGACCTTTGTGGAAGTCTGTGAGGTCAAAGCTACTCTCATAGTAATATTAAGATGGTATTTGCCTTTTCCCTTTTGTTCTATCACTGCTATGCAGTGGAGTTTTCCAGAAGCTAAATGATGTGTGATGACAATTTCTAGAGTGACTGGTAACAAGTGCTTTTTCATTCTTGTGTTTTAAATATTTTCTTCTTATTTCTAATTAATTTCTAAAGTGGTATATAGACAATATAGAAAATATTGTTTGGTATGACCCACATAAACAAAAGCTCTTTGGGATCCTTGAAGTTTGAGGACTACTGTTTTGTAGCTATTTATTGATTTGATTTGGAAAATTAGCCAAGGAATTTGAATTAAGAAAAATAGGAAGAATCACTCTTATTATAATGGATGAGAAAACTAAGGCAGAAAAATCAGAGAATGATTGATTGACAAACCCAAAGATAGAAAGAGGTCTGGGAACTCATTTGAAGAAAGCCAGTTTTGGGTGCTCTTTTAGTCAGGGTTCTCCATAGAAACAGAACCAACAGAATGAGGGGTGGAGGAAAGAGAGACAGAGAAAGAGAGAGAGTGAGAGAGGGAGAATTCTTCCTTACTCATTCTTTTGGCTCTACTCGAGCCTTCCATGGATTGGACAAAGCCCACCACATTGGGAAGAGCAATCTACTTTACTCAATCACTGATTCAAATGTTAATCTCATCCAGAAACACCATCACAGACACACACAGAATAATGTTTAACCAAACACTGGACACCCTATGGCCCAGTCAAATTGACACATAAAATAAATCATCATAGGTGCTAATTTGGGGTGGAGGAAATGAAGATCCTTCAGTAAGAAAATGAAATAACCAGAGAGAGAGGAGACCAGGGCACTGCGTTTACTGACTCCCTCGCTAGTCTCTGCTCAGCCACAGACTCTCACCACTCCTCCTGCAGGCCCACAGATTCCATTTCCATGAGATCAGCTAAATGCCTTCTCATCCTCCCCCTGCCTTGTGGTTTATCTCATTTCTGCAGGAATCCTTTTGGGCAAGGACCAATGCTAATTCTACCTTCTGCACTGAGTTTACTTCTCAGCAATCATGAAGAATCAAGATGGTGTTCTCCCTCGACCCCGAATCCATATAAGACTTACAACTGCATCCCTACAGAGGCAAAGAACACATATATTTCTCCAGAAGAGTAGTAAATGTTAAAGCTTGTTTTATGAGGGAATCCTTAGCTGTAATCCAATCCCCACGATAATGTGTTGCAAATTACTAGTAAATGTTCTTTTCAGTAATCTGCAAACGAATGCTTGCTCTCAATAAGTCAGTCATTAGTAAAAGAGAAAATGACCCTTCACATTTGGGAATGCCGTTAAATCCAGGTTTTAAATCAAAAGACCCCTGTTGAAACACATTTGGTGGGCTCAGCTCACTAGTCCATACAATGTAGTAATCTGTCGGTGGAGACAACTGCACTGGAGGAAGTTGCAGACAGAGTGGTCTTTACTCCCAGGACACACAATGAGGTCACCCTCTCCTGGGTGGCCCAGAGCAGCTTTGGGTCCCCACCATGGCTGCATGCCTAAGTCTACCCTCTTGAAGACTCTGGCCTTCTAGCCCCTCTGTTAGCTGTCCTTCAAAATTTACTTGGGCTTTTGCAGGGAGGGGCTTGCTACCATCAATAACAAACTAACAGTTGATATACAAGTGGCACAATGTAGCAGTCTTCAACTTGTGTTCCACAGAACACACGAGTTCTGGAAAGATTAGGAAAAAGTATTTCATGGTAACATAACTTTAAATAAACCCTCTTCGGAGAGTCAGAATGACATTAGCATTTGTAAAACTCTGAGAAGACTTTCAGCAAAGATAGCAGTTAAGCTTAAACTAATTTGATCAGGTGGCAGATACTGTGGGTTGGCTCACTCACCTCCTGTTCCAGCCATTCCACCCCCCACCCCTTACAGTGTGTGTGCTTCCATTTTCTAAAAATTACATTTCCCAGGACAGCCTTAGAGGTCAGGCACATGACCTAGATGCGACCAATCAGATTTACACCCAGGGACACCTGGTACAGGAAGTCAGTACGCTAGGGGAAAACTGCTTCTCTTGACACGCACGGTGCTGGAAGTGTGTGCTATTCCTGAGGCAGCTGGGGTGGCGTGCCTGGTGTCCACTCTCAAGCAGTGGTGTTTCTACTAGAAAAGCAGTGAGGTAGGGCAGAGTTCTCTGCCTGTTGGTGGCCCTGGCTGCATTGTTTCCAGCTGAGTAACATACAAGTCTGGCCTCCCAAAGTATAATAATAAAAACAATAATGATAATGATAATGATGATGATGATGATAATAATAATAATAATAATAATAATAATAATAATAATAATAATAATAATAATTCTCTTGTTCCTTAAGCTAGCTAGAGTGAATGCAGGTTGCAATTAAACCCTGAGTGCTACAACCAGAGAAACTACTGAATACCTAAGGCTATCCCATTAAAACTAGTGGTTCAAGGAAGACAAGTTTGGAAATGCTATTCTTCATAAAGAGGACTTGATGAGAATCTAGACCTTAATCCAAGGGATATAAACTCTAAGCATGGGAATTTCAGGTACTGTGCCAGGCAATGTCTATCACAAGGATGGGGACCGGTGGCTGTATACATGCCATGTCATTTGCCATCTCTGGGTCAGAAGGTCTAGAGGTACTTCCTAAATTTGCACTTTCATGAACATATTGGCTGGACTAAGCATATGTTCTTTATCTCACATCCTGCTAGGCCCTCATGTGGAAATACAAATCAGTCAATGGCTTGACTTCCCCTGGGGACTAACAAGAGGCTGGAGATTTATGTAGGAAATCATTAGGAAATGTAAAATG